ACAACACTGGGCGAGGGTCATGGACCCTTGCAAACAAGTATCGCTTTGGGATTTTTACCATCACTTTGTCTCCTACTTGGTATTCAACAAAGTGGCGATTTTGATCAGCATGGTTTTTCATTCGCTTTTGGGCTTTGACAAGATAGCTCTGCACTATCTCCAAGTTTCGCTTCCATTCCTTCGAGAAGCTAGCAGCTCGAGGAGATTTCGACATGTTTGGGGCATTCACAGTGCGTGGGAGTAGTTGTTGCTGTCCGGTAACAATTTCAAAAGCACTTCTGTTTGTAGTAGAGCTCTTTTGTGAATTGAAACACAGTTGAGCAGCATACAGAAGCTTCACCCAATTCTTCTGCGATCGGGTAACAAAATGGCGGAGGTATTCCTCCAGCATGCCATTGAACAGCTCCGTCTGGCCATCAGATTGCGAATGGAATCTTGAATTGTGGCTCAACTTGGACCCGAGACACTTAAAGAGCTTGGTCCAAATTTTGCTAGTGAAGCGAGAGTCACGATTACTAATGATGTCTTTAGGCAAGCCCTAATATTTGACAACATGAGAAATGAAGAGTTGAGTTATATCTTCTGCTGATATATATTTCGGGGCTGCTATAAATGTAGCGTATTTAGAAAACCGATCTACAACAACCAAGATAGTTGTAAGATCTCCGATCTTGGACAATCCGGTGATGAAATCTAGTGACACGCTTTCCCAGGGTCGCTTTGGAACAGGCAATGGCTCCAAAAGTCCCGCTTGTGTCAAGCGGTCCGACTTGTCTTTCTGGCATACTAGGCAAGTCTTCACATATCGAGCAACATCATCAGCCATTTGAGGCAAATAATAAGCACGGCGCAACAACGCCATGGTGCGTTCTTCACCTGGGTGGCCGGCCCACAAAGTATCATGGCATTCCATCATAAGAGTCCTTCGCAGATCTCCTCCTTCGGGAACATAAAATCGGTTTCTTTTCACCTTCAGGAAGCCATCTTCCATGTAGAACTGGCGAGTCTTGCCCTGTAATCGACCAAATACTATGCAGCAGGATCCTTGGTGAGTAGATCTTGTATCCGATCTTTTATAGTGGTGGTCACTTCGCTCCCCCTTAGGGTGGCGAGTAGGCACACCGATGCTAGGTCAGCCCTTCGACTAAGCGCATCAGTAACTTTGTTGGTCTTCCCACTTCGGTACTCTAGGTTGAAGTGAAATTCCGCTAGGAGTTCCTGCCACCTGGCTTGTCAGCCATTCAGCTTTGGTTGGGTCATGAAATGACTAACAGCCGTGTTTTACGTCTTGACCACGAACAGGTTCCCAGTAAATAGTGCCTCGAAAGGCGTAAGCATTGGACGACAGCCGATAATTCTTCTTCGTGGGCGGCGTAGCGCCATTCTGCATCCTTCAACTTCCGGCTCTCGTATGCCACTAGATGCCCCTCTTGTAGCAAGACTCCGTCCAGAGCATAGTCAGAGGCATCCGTTTGTATTTCGAACGGCTTGGCCAAATCAGGAAGGGCCAAGACGGGGCTTCTAGACATAGCCGTTTTCAATGCGTTGAAGGCCTCCGCTTGCCTAGGACCCCAATCCCAAGGTATGACTTTCTTTAAGAGTTCTGTCAACAACATTGCAATGATAGAGTAATTTTTCACAAACCGCCGATAGAAGTTGCACAGGCCAAGGAACGCCCTCAAGGCGTGGAATGTGGATATCCTCTGACGGCGGCCAATCTATGACAGCTTGAATATTTTGTTGGTCTATCTTGATTCGTCTTTCCTCGATGACATGTCCGAGGAAGTTAATCTTTTTTAGGTGAAAGGGCACTTGGATAGCTTACACATATAATTCGTGCTCCCGCAGTCGGGCTAGGACCTTCCGCAGGTGTTCCTCCAATGTTTTGCTATATACCACAATGTCGTCCAAGTAGACCACTACGAATTCGTCAATGTACTCTCGGAAGACTTGGTTCATCAGGGTGAAAAATGTGGCCGGAGCATTAGTCAAGCCGAATGGCATGACCAGGAAGTCGTACGACCCATATCTTGTCACACGGATCGTCTTGTGTTCATCTCCCTCAGCAATCCGAACTTGCCAGTATCGTCTGCTTTGGTGAACACTGTAGCACCACCCAATCTATCAAACAAATCTGCCATTAGCGAGATAGAGTACTTATTCTTCACGGTGATTTTGTTAGGGTCCGATAATCCACACAAAGTCGTAGGGTGCCATCCTGTTTCTTTTGGAATACCACAAGGGACCCATAAGGGGATTTGGAGGGCACAATGATCCCCGTGTCCATCATTTTCGTCAACTGTCTCCGAAGCTCGGTCAGTTCGGGTTGTGACAATCTGTAAGGCGCCCGGGCGGGTGGCTTCGCACCCGGCACCAACTCAATCTCATGGTCCAAAGTGCGCCAAGGCGGGAGTCGCTTTGGCATGTCCTGTGGCATGACGTCTTTAAATTAATTTAGCAGCTCCTTCATGGGTGCAGGAATGGGACCCGAAGAGCATTCAATATCTTCAATACAGAGGGTAGCCAAGAACGTAGGTTCATGTCTTTTGACTCCCTTGTTCAACTTCAACTGCAAGGCCGAGATGTTCTCCGCGACCATCTTTATGGTTGTGCATGGGATAATGCAGGGCTTGGCTCCCATCATCGGTAGCATATCTGCATAAGGTACTGGAATGATGTCGGTTTGCCTCATTAATTCCAATCCAACTATCAGCTCGAAGTCATTTATGATCACCACACGCAAGTTGAATTTTCCTTCATAAGGACCAAGCTTCACTGACACTCCTTTGGCAATTCCACCCACTGGCTGAGGCGGTGAGTTGATAGCCTTGACACGACCTCTGCCCTTTCCCACAACTAGACCAAGGCGCTCTACTTGAGTTGAGGCTAAGTAGTTGTGAGTAGCGCCCGTGTCTACCATCTCCTGAATGGGCTTGCCATTAACTTTCATTTCGACGAACATAAGGGTCTGCTCTTGGTTAAGAGGAGGCCCCTCATCCGCCTTCTTTTTCCCTTTCTTGGTGGTTGGGCATGAGTCTTTCTTCTTACGGATGCCGGCACTGGTTCCCGCTAAGGCCTCAGAAATGGAACAAACAAGTGCGTTGAAGGCACCTATTGGTTCTATCTGGTCAACATCATATGTGTCGTCATCTGTCCCATCATCAAAAGTTTGATGGGCGTTCATTTGTGCTTGTGGGCATTCATTGTTCCAATGTGGCCCGCTGCAATGACGACATTCTGAAGGGAGCTTTCTCCCCCGATCATTATTGTGAGACGCAACACTATTACTGCATGAGGAAGGAGTCTTAGATTTGGTTGCACTCCGATCTCCTCCACTTCTGCTTGGGCCACCATTGCTAGGCTGACCCCCTTTGTATCCTCCTCGGGCAGGCGGTTGAGGCCTATCCTTTCGAGCTTCCACTTGGTAGTCCCCAAGGCATTCCGCTGCTTGGATCGTCGTGGGCAAAGTTTTTATTCTTTGTCTTTGCAGCTCCATACAGGCATAAGGTTTCAAACCTTCCAGGAAGGTGAAAAGTTTGTCCTTGTCTCCCATATCCCGTATGTTCAGCATGAGTGCGGAGAATTCCCGCACGTAATCCCGGACTGGGTTGGTCTGGCAGAGCTTCCGAAGCTCTCTCCGCGTATTGTACTCAATGTTTTCGGGGAAGAACTGTAGGCGTATGGCTGCCTTCAAGTCTCCCCATGTCTCAAGAGTATCTTCACCTGCCCTGATGGCTTCGTATTTCACCCGCCACCAGAGTTTAGCATCACCCTAAAGATACATGGCAGCAGTTGCTACCTTTTTTGCTTCTTCTAACTCCACTTCCTTGGCATTCCGAGCCCCATTGTAGAGTTTTGGCTCGGGAATCTTCAGCTTTTATGGCACGGGGGCGAGGTTCACAGCACCCTCGATCTGGTTTCTACCTCCTCGAAGTAGGCCTTGCAATGCAGCGTTGACAACATTGAGCTGGCCCGTCAAATTGTCTATGGTTTGTTGCGTGGCAGTCACCATGTCTGCCTCTTGTGCCCTATAGGCTAAATCCTCCGTCCGCTCCTGTTGGAGGCTCTCGAATTTACTGAAAATTTCGGCTGCCTCCGTGGTTGCCGTTTGCCGGTCTCCTTCAGAGTCACGACTGATGTTGGCAATATCACCTTCGGCGTGCCGCATTCTGCGGTCCAGGTCGTCCAACCTTTGCACTAGGATGGTTCTTAAGTCAGGCACCGTATTCACGATGGGTTGTAATACGTTAATCGTCTCTTCAAGGGTCGCAATGTGGTCCCCATGATTCACCATGGTCAGAAATGGTGGTAATGGTAATGTGTTCCCTCGTCCGATGTCGAGCCTAGGCTCTGATACCAACTGTTACGCGGTACCTTCCTGCGATTCCTTGGAAGGGCGACGTAAGGTTAAGCAACTGATGTATGTGCGATTACTATCCGCCAACTGGGGTCCCCTCCGTACGCTAGACGAGACTGTCAGTGCCGTACGGAAAAACCAATGTCAAGAGCAATTTAGAGAACAGAAAAGAAAATGAGAATGAAAGAAAGTTTGATTACATTAATGAAAGCTATTACAAAAAGGCAACACGGTGTCGAGGGGGAGAGACACCAGTACAGAGAATTGCTTGATCCCCCTAATAATGCTTAAAAAATATAAACCAAAGTTACAGGACTTGACATAACTAAGCTAGAGAGACATAATGGAAATTCAGAAAATAAAACTACTCTATATTTACAACATAAAAGACTTAGGTTCCTACAAGGTAGCAGCAGGTCCGTTGGCGGCAACCTTGCGCGCTCGGCGCTGTTGGCATCTGCCTTCTCTGGCGAGGGCTATCGATGGGGCGACATAGGCACATGCGAGCTTGTCACTTGGCGCGGCCAAGACCACGGGGCCGTCGATGGCGCTAGGCGTTGGGAGGCTTGCCATGACGCCAGGGGCGCGTCCAAGAGGTCATGGGGCATGGCTGGAAACCCGCCCATGACAGCACCCATGCTTATATATCCACAATTGCAGTTCATATACCAGAAGAGTTCTGTCCTTCATAGCTCACTTATCTTTGGTGTGTACTTGCAATCCCATAATATACTAGTAATTGCTAATGAGACATTGACAAATGATGTATCTTAAGTGAGATGCATTCTCATTATTTGACATTTCACTTTCTTATCCTATTATGTAGGTATGTTCCATCCAAAGTTGGGTTGTTTTTGCAATTTTAAACGGCTAAACTGTTTGAAAGAGTTTTCTTTGTTAAAGGAACTTTTCTATGATTTGAAAACTTTTGTAATTTAGTGTAGTGAATTCTCTCATCTGCTGTGTCATCAACCACTACATTTTGAGAAAAATCTGATGCTTCCTTTTAGAGTCAAAATCATGAGAATATGTTGCTAGTGCATCGTGGTGTATGTTACTATAAGTTTGCTCAAGATTAGACTATTTTGGTTGAGTATTTTTCTGCTGATATAACACTAGCCTCTGACTTTTATTTTATCTGATTAGGAAAAGCTGAATGTCTTCTTGAACCTGGCAACCCTTAGAACCATAGCAACCATCTAGCTATCCAGTTTACCGATCCAATTTATTGTAGTCGTTCTTGATTCAGTGTACGTGCAAACAAAGGTTTTACCCCTCAAAACAATAAAGAGAAAGATCCCACATTGGATCTCACTCGCGAGAATAGTAGTGTTGCTGAGGAGCTGTTAGTGGGAGTGGTGTCTACAAGAAAGCAAAAATCAACACTAGATAAATTATGGTAACTTTGCATGCTCTCTTTTGCTGCAGGGTGCCATTCTGATTAATATTGCTCGAGGTGGTCTCTTGGACTATGACGCTGTTTTTAATCATCTCAAATCGGGACATTTGGGCGGTTTAGGAATTGATGTTGCTTGGGCTGAACCATTTGATCCTGATGATGCTATCCTTAAATTTCCAGAGGTTATAATCACACCCCACATTGCTGGTGTTACAGAAAAGTCCTATAGATACATGGCCAAGGTAAGTCCTAACTTGAGCTATCTTGATGAAATGCTTCAATCAATCAAATCAACAACGCCTCAATTCCAAACTATTTGTGATCAGATATATGAATCCATGTTTTATATATTTTGCTCAATTCGGGCCAATTTCATTTCATTGGTGGGAAACTAGTTTCAAATTGTTTGCTTACTTAAAAACCTTTGGCTTGTCTGTGTTTAGACCCCACGTTTATTGTTCATAGTTCTGAAAGTTAGGTTTACGAGGTGTCTGTGTTTTCTGTTAGATGAAGTTTTGTAGAATAAGCAAATCACACGTAACATAGTATAAACATTCTCCAAAGAGATATCATTGTCAAGCCTATAAATATACATGCAAGCGGCTTTCTGGAAAAACTGAAATCCTTAGATTTCTCTAGTTTACACTCAAACTCGTCGAATAACCAAGCTATTCTTAAAGAGTTTTTGTATCCATTTACAGACCTAGAGTTTCTGGGGGACGTATGCTGCTTCGGTAGGCTGAATAGCGCACACAGTGCTGTCATTCTGCCTGATAATTTTAACCAGAATAATTTAGGCTAAAGTTTATTTGTTAGAACATCTTTGTCGAAATCAATCTTCTAATATGGAAATGGTTAAATTACAGGTTGTCGGGGACGTTGCTCTTCAACTACATGCAGGAGAACGTTTTACAGGAATAGAGATTGTCAATTGAAGCAAGCAGTAACTGTCAATATGATGAAGAAACATTCGTGTGTCCTAATAAATTATTTATGTGATATGCATTGAATAATAATGAGGAGATTGTTATATTTTTTGTGTCTGAGAAATCAGTCAGGGGCCAACCCTTGCAACCTTTGACAGTTTCTTAACCTTTGCTGCTTCATGTAAATATTAGTAACTAATACCGCCAACAAAACGCTACATTAGTTATGCGGCACTTAATTTTTTTGTTATGTGACCAACCAAACACTTTATTATGTTATGGAAAATTTTATGTTGGGATTAAGTATTTCAAATCATTAAGTAACTATTGGCCATGACTGACTTTGTGCGAGTATACCAACATGACTGACTTTGTTGGGATTAAGTATTTTCTCAGAACTCTTATCATTTTAGTGAGTTGTCAAATTACAGATTTTGGAGTCCAATGCACGTTACGATTTCTTTCAATCTGTTAAAGTCTTGGTGGATAAAGTAACTATCTACCGGTACTAGTGGGAGGTAGTAGGTTTAATCGAGGTGCGCGCAAACTGGTTCGAACATTCTTTGTTTTACACAATTGTGAATATTCTTAATGTAATAACTCGTGCCAAATTGTGAATATTCTTAAATCACAAACTTTAAAGAAAAATGTTATTAAAGATTTTATACTCACTTGCTTCTCAAAAGAGTTTTACACAATTATGAAACCTTATTTTCTTCTCCTTCTTTATTTCTTAGTAATTTTGTTAACTCTCACAACAAATATCACTCTCATACACTCACAGCTCAAGTCATTCTCAAAAGAAACAAACAAAAACGAAGGAACCGCCCAGTTTTTGTCCTGGTATAAAACCTAAATTCCCCACATTGCGCTAACACATATGATTAGCGAGAAAAATAAAAGCTAACACATATGACACATCTAATGATAAAAAATTATTATTTACCCAAACTTAATAAATACATGAGATGTGTCTTTTATATATATATATATATA